TGCGTTGTCGTATCTTACACAAGGTGTAATAACCCATTAAGTTAATTATTTAAGTTTAATTGTAGTGTGGGAGTTTAAGCAATACGCAGAGAACGCGCTATTCGAGATTTGGGTGTCTTATTCGATGACCAGTTGCAATTCAAAGATCATGTTAACGCTATAGTAAAGTCAGACTTGAGAGATGATTTTTCTAAATGTAAGTACAAGGAGTACAATTGTAAAGTATGCAAAAAGAAAGGACATTTAGCGGTAGTATGTAGGTTTGCGAAAGATGTAAAGAACGTTGATGTCGAAGACAAGAATACTTTAGATTATGTAGATTTAATGAGTTTTAACGATTGTAAACCGTACATTGTAAAATTATTGTTAAATGATAAAGTAGTACATTTTGGGGTGGATTCGGGTGCAGGAGCTTCCATTTTACAAAAAAGCATATATGAGAAGTTATTTAATAATATTGAACTTAAGCCGACTCAAACGCGTTTAAAAATGTACAACAGTAGCATTATTGTTCCGGAGGGAGAAATGAATGTAGAAGTTGTTTATAAAACTGAAAAAGAGACTTGTCGTTTTTTAGTAGTAGATGGAGGAAATAAATGTCTAATAGGTAGAGATTTGATAAGAAAGTTCAATATAGAATTAGGTAAAGACTTTAACACTGAATTAAATAATATTAATGAAAATAATGATCTGAAAACGTTATTAGAGATGTATAAAAAACTATTTATGGATCAGTTAGGTAAATATAAGTATGAAAAGATAGATTTTAAGTTAATCGAAAAAGTAAAACCGATATTTGTGAAACCGCGGCCTGTGCCTTTTGCTTTTAAAAAAGAAATTGCTAAAGAGTTAGATGATCTGGAAAGGAAGGGTGTAATACAATTAGTAAATTACAGTGAATGGGGAACGCCTTTGGTTCCAGTTATAAAACCAAATGAAGGTATCAGATTATGTGCCGACTAGAAGGTTACGGTGAATAAGTATATCGAAGATATAAAGTATCCTTTACCAAGAATTGAAGAGCTGTTCGCAGCATTGCAAGGAGGTGAACATTTCACTAAACTAGATTTAAAGAATGCTTATAATCAATTAGAATTGGAGGAAGATACAAAAAAATTGTTAGCATGGAGCACTCATAAGGGAATTTATTTGGTTAATCGATTACCATACGGAACAAAACCTTGGTGCAGCTTTGTTACACGTTTTACCAGATGGAGCAGAAAGACCCATTGCATTTCAGTCTAGAGTTTTGTCTAAAGCTGAGAGAAATTATTCTGTGATTCACAAAGAGGCTTTAGCTATCTGTTGGCCTGTACAAAAATTTTATCAGTACTTAATGGGAAACGAGTTTATTCTGCAGTCAGATCATAAACCATTGGAAGCGTTATTTGGGCAGAATAAGGGAATATCTCAGATGGCAGCGGGAAGGCTGCAAAGGTGGGCGTTGTTTTTAAGTGGTTTTAAATATAAAATAGAATATATTAAAGGAAATCAAAATAAAATACCAGACGGATTGTCGAGATTACCCTTAAATCAAAAAGATACGGAAGAAAGATTTGATTATTTAAATTATCTAGTAGCCGAGAATTTACCGTTAAATAGAGACCAAATTATTGCAGAACTAAGAAGAGACAAACAATTAAGAAAAGTAATCACGTATGTTAGATCAGGGTGGCCAGAAAATGTAGAAGAAGAATTAAAACTATTTGCAAATAAAAAGAATGAAATTAGTCTGGACAGAAATATTTTAATGTGGGGTTATAGAGTCATAATACCTCAAATTTTTAAGAAACAGATGCTAGAAGAATTACATGTAGCGCACTTTGGAATGTCCAAAATGAAAGCATTGGCTAGGCAATATTTTTGGTGGCCAAATTTAGACAAAGATATAGAAAAGTATGTAAAAAGTTGTGAAGCATGCATGACTTTTTCAAGAAACCCGGAATTGGTAAAATTAACAAAGTTCACAGAGGCAAAGGAAGTATTTGACAGAGTTCATATCGATTTTATGGGACCTTTTAAAGGTAAAATGTTTTTAATAATAACAGATTCTTATTCGAAATGGCCTGAAATTTATTTAATGAATAAAATAGACTCCGAAAATACCATAGAAAAATTGAGAGATTGTTTATCGAGATTTGGGTTACTTAATAAAATAATTAGTGACAATGGAACTCAATTTCTATCGGAAGAATTTCAGAAATTTTGTAGACATAATGATATTAAACACATAACATCAGCACCTTATCACCCAGCAACAAATGGAGCTGCGGAGAATGCTGTAAAGTCGTTCAAAATTGGTCTAAAAAAAGCTTTATATGATGAAAGAAATAGAAATGTATCACTTTTAACCATCATAACTAGATATTTGTTTGCATATAGAAATACACCACATTGTGTCACAAATGAAACACCTTCCACATTGATGCTCAAACGCAATATAAAAACAAGATTAAATATTTTAAATAAAGTAGATTCTGATAAACAATTAGAAAGACAAATAAAATATTTTAAAGGTAACAGAGAAGTGAGCTTCGAAGAGGAGGAGGTAGTGTATGTGAAAGATTATAGAACACCAGGTGAAAGTAGGTGGACTAAGGCTAAAATATTAAAAGTATTAGGAATAAGTACATATTTGTGCAAGGTAATGGATGATGCATCCTTAACGTGGAAAAGACACGCAGATCAAATTGTTAAAACCGGAGAATTTTATGGTGATTATATAGAAAAATTAGAGATGAAAGAATTAGAGAAAGCCAAACTTAGTGAGATAGAAATGAGAAGGTTCCTGCGTCCTTTGACATTGGACAAAGGAACAAAAGAAATATGTGAAAAAACAAGAGGAAAAGAGACATCGGAAAGGGGAAGAGAAGAAAGAGAAGAGACACAGAATAAATTGGAGGGTACAGAAATAAGTTTTGAAAATGTTAAATCCAAGGATGAAAATAAAATGAAAACAAGATTAGAGAGAAGAAAACAAAATTTAAGACTTAGAGAAAAAATCAAACCACCATCTAAATTAAATTTATAACTTTTTGTACTTAGAGGGGGAGGACTGTAATAACTTTTATAGAGTAAAGGTGCCGTCCGTGACCGCAAGGTGTCGTAAGTAGTTTTTATAAATGTGTAACGAACGTTAAATATAATGGCGCTTGTCTTCTTGTGTTTGTAATAGTAAAGATGTGTGTTTTGAATGTTTGAAGATTTAAATAAACTTTATTAAAAAGTATAACAGTATTATTCATAAACATTACAGGTATCCTTATTATACTTCTCACCAACTCATGCTCGAGAGAGTGCAGAAGAGGTTCTTAAAATACTTACATTTTAAAACAGTTGGTCAGTATCCGGAGCGAGGTGTTGACTACGTTGCGTTATTGGAAGAATTTAATTTTTTATATTTGAACAATCGTAGAGAAGATGCTAGTAGAAAACTTTTATCGAACATCGTCAATTGCACTGTCGACTCACCTTCACTTCTTGCTCGAGTTGGATTCATTATACCCAGACCTGGTATCAGGAATAGCAACACATACCAGGTGCCGATCGCTAGGACCAACGTTCTGATGCGGGCGTCTCTGACACATATGGCACGGAACGCAAATAATGAAGTTACCACTTAAACTATATATCCCTTATTAATTTTGTAATTTGTAAAATATCCCTATTGTGACATATTATTATTATTATTTTTTTTTCTCTTGTTTTTGTTCTGAATTTATCTGAATTGTTATTAATTTTTGTTTTGTGCGCTTCACATCTCACTTTTCCTTTTCTTCTCTTTGTTGTACATTATCCTGTAATTGGGTCTTCCTGTTGGATAATAAAGAGATATATTATTATTATTATTAGGAATACCTTAATACCTTGCAAGGAAGGGGAAAATGGTACAAGGACACCGGAGAGAAACCGAGGGTTGGCTCACTGGTAATAATAAAAACCGAAAATGTACCACCCATGCAGTGGCCAATCGGAAGAGTAATAGAAGTTTTGACGAAAATTTGAAGATTTGAAGATTTTTTTTTCTTTTTAATTTATTGTAAATTAAAGGGGGGAGTTTTTGTTCGATTTATTATAATGATTGTTTGTTGGATTGTTAATTATACAGCCACTCGAGTGTACGTAGTGAAGATTCGAGTTACCGACGCTAATAAAACAAAATTCACAGTAGAGCTGTTGACATTCGATAGAAGCGCATTGTTTTGTATAACGTCGTATTGTAACCAAATAATAATAATGTTTTCATTCATAAACAATTTGTGGTTCCTGACAAAAACAGCACCGAACCTATGCGTGATCACATCAAAACCGAAGTATAAGGCAAATTTAATCACAACTTCACTGTTCTTCACTGTGAACGTACATCCAGAAGGGAACAATTTGATCCCCAACTATATTTATACTTATTTTGAGCGTGAGAGTCACAGAAAATGTTTCATGATAGATCAGTCCAGAGTAGTGAAAGGGCTACCAAAAGTTTCGTCATCTTGTCCTCGTATTTTTTCGTATTTCTTCACTTCGAACTTGTTTCTGAAGAAGGTTGCAACATGGCAACCGAAACGTCAAACACATTTTCAAAAGACGCACTGCTTAACCCGAAAGTTTTCAGTATTAGGTTTAGTGTGAGTTCTAGAAAACCTTCGTACTTACATTATCAGCGTTTATGGGCAGGATAAACAAATAAATCAAGTGTTTGGCAACTTACGTCTTCGTATGAAGATGCAGAAAGAAAAAATAACGTCAGCATTCCTCAACGTGAGGCACCATATCGACTCTACTATTGCCCGAAAGATCTTGATTAAGACAAAACAAGCAAGAAGTGTTCATCAAACTTGTAAAACAAAATTTTGTTAGGGTGCCATATTAAGGACAAGGATCGGTTAGGGGTTAACATAATACATATCAATAACGCCGAGCAATGACATTTTTGTTATAAATAGATGATTTTTTTTTAAATGGACAAGTTAATGATACTGTTCGCTCCGCTTATATTATTAGTGCGCATGTGCGACATTCGCCCCCGCTCAGTGTGAGTTTCACCCGCTTGGTCCGCATGCGCACCCTTAACGCACTCCGCTTTTAATTTTAATACGTATTACGACTCAGTTCAGTTAAAACGCATTTTGAATACTACGCATCCGCTTCGCATCCGCCAAAAATTCAGTTTAGTTCTCTACCGCATCGCTACGCCGCTTCAGAAGGTAATTAATCAATTATCATTTGTTTTATTTAAATTTTTATTTTTAATTAAGAATTATATTTTTTTATTACATTCATCTTGTTTTTTTTTATTATTGCTAATTTTTGAAACCAGCACCTCCGCTGTTATTGTCGCCTATAATTAGAGAGCACAGATACAGTTCATCATAAAAATGAAAGAATTAATGATACAGATAAAGATTTAATTAGGAAACAAGATTGTAAAGAAAATAAAAATAATGAAAACAAGAATTTCAGCTCGAGATCATCGGCAACGACGAGTTATAAATAAAACCGCAACACATTACAGATAACTCATTTATTATTCATTAATATAATGGTGAAGATGAAGAATTTCTTACTTATTCTAATTTTTAGTCAAGTTGCCAAAACACAACTGCATTCTCCAACTTCTATAAAAACATTGATGAGTGACATTGCAGAAATTAAAAAATCTATTTCCGAGTTGGGTGAGTATTATTTAAAAATTGAATAAATGTTTCACATAAGCAGGTAATCTTAATGTGTCTTAACGTTCCAATTAACGATGTTTCAACAATTCTAATTTTTGTGGAATCTATTGGGTTGTGTTAAAAAATCATTTTAATGGTTATTCCTATTTTAGGAGAGAAAACAAAGAGGTATGATGATATTGGTTCATATCAACCTTTTTTTTATTCATTGGTTAGTACTCTTCAGCTATCGATTAATAAGTTATCATTCCTTGATGAAAAAATAAGCATTATTAGCAAGTAATAATGAATAAATTATTCATTAAATTTTTTAATTACAAAAAAAAATATTGTAATATTTTTTTTATTCAGGGTTGAACCTAAAATAAATGAGTTAGAAGATAAATTTGAACGTTCGTTTAAACAAATCAATAACAAATTAGACGAAAACAAGCAAGATGAAGTTTTCGAAAAAATTTTAAGTAAATTAAATAATGTTGAAAACTTTGGAAATGTTTTAAATGAAATTGTCAAATCTCAAAATGTAAAAATTCAAAAATTATTTGATGGCTACAATAAATCAAAAGTAGCAGAGGAAGAGTTTGTAAAAGTTAAATTGAACGATTTAAATTCAATACTGAATCAAACTCCGTCAAAACTTGATGACATATCAACAAAAATTAATATACTAGAAAACTCTGTTAAACAAATCAATAATAAATTAGAGGAAAATGAAGTTTTCGAGAAAGTTTTAAATAAAATAAACAACTTGGAAAATAACACAGAAAATTTAATAAATACCTTAGAAAAGAACGACGTCGAAAACGTTTTACGAGAAAATTTAAAATTTCAAAACGTGAGTATACAAAAATTAATGGAAAAATGTACAAATACGGAAGACACACAATTTATTTTACCCGACTGTTTTGATTACACTTCTTTAAATTCTATTAAAAGACTTTCTCTTACGTCAAAGTTTTATGCAAGTTTCCACAACGGTACAAAATTATGCGAAAACGGTTGGTTAGTGATTCAAAGACGGGGTAATTTCGAGCAGCAAGAAAATTTCATTAGATCCTGGAACGATTACAAATATGGGTTTGGCGATTTAAATAAAGAATTTTGGCTTGGGAATGATTTCTTACACCTGTTGTCGCATCAAAATCACTTAAAATTGCGAGTAGAATTGGAAAATTTCGTTGAGAAAAGAAGCTGGGCCGAATATAAATCATTTAAAATTGGCAATGAAGATGAAAATTATCGACTACAAATTACAGATTACAGTGGAACGGCTGGCGATTCTCTTTCTTATCATAATAACGTAAATTTCAGCACCTTCGATAGGAGGAGTAATGGTGATATTTGTACCTTAATCTTTAATACTGGGTGGTGGTTCAAATTGTGTAATGGAAATTTAAATGGATTGTATTATAAAAATGAAACGACGTCCCACGACGGAGTGCGTTGGAGTAATCGGTTGAATGTTTCTTTGAAGACAGTTAAAATGATGGTAAAACCAAAAGAGAATTCATCAAAAATTAAATTTTCTTTCTAAAACGTAAGAATGTGTTTCCCCACTTCTATTATCAAACTTTTATTTTATCTTATAATAGATTTTATGTTTTCAGTAAACAATAAATAAAATTAACATATAACTATTTAATTAATTCCTTGTTTATCACAAGTCGTAACAATTAAAAAGTAATTGTAAACAGAGGTAATGTTGATTTATATGTAGCGTCATGTCTACAAAATCCATTCCCTCAATAATAATAATAATAATAATAATAATCAACTTTATTGTGCACCATAAGACTCTACATATTTAAGAAAAAAAAAAAAAAAATACATGAATTAAAAACAAAAGGGCACGAAAGGCGAGTTCCAGACATGGGAGAAA